AGTGACAAAAACAAAAAAAAAAATACCCTTTTTTTTTTTTTTTTTTTTTAGTAGTCAGCTTAGTTTGGTCTGTGTCCCTTTTTGTGATGTTACTGATATAGGATTTCTTGCATGACAAACTGGGGTTTGGTCTCTAGATAAGGAAATGCTTTGTCGGGCAAAATGTAAACATTGCTAAAGTAGACTTAACTCAAATGCTAACATACAGCTGAGGGCCCGTTCACTAACTCAAATGCTAACATACAGCTGAGGGCCCGTTCACACCTGTTGCAGTGCATTCTGGCCCGATTCTGGCCAGAACGCACTGCCTCGCAATGCGGCCGGCTCACTTTTTAGTGGAACAGGAGGGGGAGTGGCGGGCCATTGAAGTGAATGGCGCCGTAGCCACACCCCCCGGCCGCAATGCGATCGCCCGCACAGGATCGCAAGGCACATTGAGCCTGCGGTCAGGTCCGGTGTGATCAAAATGCTGCAAGCACTATTGACGCCCCCTCCTGCCCCACGAAAAAGTCAGCCGACCGCAATGCGAGACCGAGTGCTCTGGCCAGAATCGGGCCAGAACGCACTGCAACTGGTGTGAATGGGCCCTAAGTTAACAGATTTGCTGGTATAGATCAATAAAGAGTAATAGAAGGTTTGAAATATCCTTCTTGGAATAAACATGCTACTCCAGACTCCTTTCTTTGCTGGTCATCTAAAACTCTAGACTTGGTCCTCATGATCTGTCTGAACCATGCTGCAACTTAAACAGAAATCACAGGGATAAGTACCCTGGCTTTTAAACATGTGGGCAACACAGGAAACCAGAAGCACTATTTACTGTAGGGGAGGCAAGTAATTCAGCTTTTCTATTACTCTTTATTCTTCTCAGAAAGACTGTTTATATAAAAAAAACATTTTCTCTCCCCAAAAACAGATATGTAACAATTGCAAAAAACACTCTCAGGTACCTGCACTAAATATTTGTAGAACACTAAGGGGTCTATTCACGGAGCTGCCGAGGGCAGCCGAGTGAATGACCGATCTGAAGTGAAGTGAGCCGAACGCTGTTCGGCTATTCACTTCAGGCTTGTATGGCTAATTTCAGCCGTACATCGGCTGAAATCAGCCGTACATCGGCTTAATATTTGTTTGGTCTTTGCTGATAATCTCTTTGTTTTATTTTTTCAGATATTAATGAGTGTGAAAACCCAGAGCTCTGTTCTCCAAATGGAGAATGTCTCAATACTGCTGGTTCATTCCACTGTATATGTGAGCAAGGATTTACTACAACGCCTGATGGAAGGTCATGTGAAGGTATGTTATTTAGTTTGAGGCACTATTTGGATAACTGCACTTGGTACCGTTTAAACTCCTCCCCTGACTAGGTGTATAAATCTATATAAACCCTGCACATAGTGACCTCAAGAGGACTCTGCAAGCCTCTTGTATGAAACCTTTGAATAAATAATGGTTCTTGTTAACCATTGTCATATCTAAATTGTTATTTTTGTTCTCCTACTATGACAGTTTTACTTGGAAAATGTGATAATTTAATGTAGGCCAACGCGTTTTTCCTGACGCTTTTATATATGAGAGAGCAAGGGGTTAGGATTGAAGGCCCCAAATTCCACTCAGTGGAAATTTTAGTATATTAATATTAGTTTGGCTAGTTTCTCTCCATCATTTAGCATTCAGCAAGTTCTACATTCACAGAATTGTGAATCTGTATTTTTACTGGCAGAAAAGAGAAAATAAAGCATGGCAATTACCACTTGACCATTACAAAACTGACCTGATGCCAAAAATAAGTCTATGGCAACGATACATAACTTGTTTTTTTTTTCTTCAAATGTGCCAGCACTGTATATCTAAACCTTATATAAACATAGAGCAAATTCTGTAAAGTAAAATTATAGAAAGCAAGTACTGACTAAATGTTTGCATTTGGTTTTCTAAAGCCAGGTCTTAAACAAAGGCTCATAATGAATTTTATTTATGTCTAAATTATATCCAGACCACAAGTGTGTTCTATGCTAAATATAAACCAGCAATAGCAAATGGTATAAACGATGGTGTGCACACATCTGCAGTCAAATGTAATTCTCACGCTGCACAGTCCAAATTTAATCCAAACGTTACCCCAAAAACCCCTACATCTTTTCCCAGAAAATTGTAAAAATGAAACAGAATATCAGCCTAGTAAAGCCAGGTGTTAAAAGTAAGAAAACCTCAAGTCCAAGGGAACACCCTCACTGTCAGCCCAAAGTCAATACGAGAAAACATAAAATCCTAGACACTTTATAAAAAATGTACAAAACTGAACTTGCTTTGTAATACGTTTTTCATATAGCCTTTATACAGCAGTTCTGTGGTTTATGATTTTTTTTTTTTTACCGTCATGACTGGAAATTCCAATTCTCTCTGCTTAGTTTGTCTACTGTGTCTCTAGTCTTCTTTCTCCATACCTGACTGTTTAGTAGTCCAGCAATAAACTCCAGTAGTCCAGCAGTTAACTCAAAGCAGTTACTACATTTTTTAAAGTGGACACTGAACTCAGGATTTAAATCTTAAAAATGCATTTAAGTACCTTAACTATTAACAAACATGTATTTTATTTGTGTATCACTCGGCTGTAGATCCTCAAATCCTCTCTGAATTCATGCTGACACTATCCTTCCTTTTGTGGAGTGTCTACTTTTGTTCCCCATGATCCCTGTGTGTGTTGGAAAGTAGCCACTACTCCAAACTCACTCCTGATTTGAGGATCTACAGCTGATTGATACATAAATAAGCTACATATTTGTTAATAATCTGTCATACAAGTCGTACTTGAATGCATCTTTAAGATTTAACTCCTAAATTTAGTGTCACTTTAAGCTATATAGACATTTGAAATTCATGGTAAACATATTACATTAAATGTGTCACTCAGGGGTAGAGTATTGGCTGTTTGAACCTTATTTGCTGATAATTGTTCAAGTAAAAGCTTTCCATTTGCAATTTGAGCTCATCAGTCATTGTTTGTTATCTATATACATATTTTTTCATTCTTTCCACACAGTTCGGATGTTTAAATGACCAGTTGTCTCTGATTTTGCCAACACATTAGCCAAATGTGTTAAATATCTAGTTGCCTGTGCTAGATATTGTGGCAAGAGCTTACAGTATGTATAAAGCCTTGCTTAAATTGTGGGTGAGAAAACTTGTATGACAGATTTAAGGCAACTACCTACCGGTTATTGGAAAAAACAACTTTGAATGAGAAAAATTGATTTGTACAAGTATGCAGATTGGGAGTTCTGACTGCTTGTGCTCCATGCCTTTACAAGTCAATGCAAATATTGTACAGAAGGTCTGCATAAAGGCTAGATAGCTATATCTTTCATACTTCATGATTTTTTGTTAAAGAGAACTATGGCCCAACTTTTTTAGCCATAGTTCTCTTTAGGGTCACAGGGGGACATATACCTAAGTCCTCCTGTGACCCAAAACTCAGCATATAGCGGACAGTCACTGCTCTCAGTTCGGGAAATGAACGATCAGTGGATTGTGATCGCTCAATTCTTGATCAATAGAGCAGATGTGAGACAGCTTCAGTATCACACCTTGGCTCTAATTACGGGGATGGGTGTATTTGACTCTCCCCCTAAATTCTCCAATAAGGCAATCACAAATGCACAAATAGGTATCTTCCAAAGGAAAAAAGAAAACCGTATATTAACTTACCATGTCTGTGCGTGAGTTTTTTTGCTAACTCAGCACACCCACATAAAGAGTACTACATGTCCATGATGGCTGCAGCAACATGTCAACTTACAATGGGACTTAAAGCACAATTTTGCACTATAACTTGGGGCTCTACCGCCGAGTGATACACAAATAAGCTACATTTTTGTTAATAGTTAAGATACTTTTCAATGCTTTTTTAAGATTTAACTCCAGAGTTTAGTGTCACTTTAAGCTTTTAATTGAAATTAAATATAATAGTGGATATTTTCAGGGCCCATTAGACATGTGCACACAAAAAAATTGTTTCCAAACGAAACAAATGAAAACGAAATACGTTTCCTCAAAGGAAACACATTTTTATGTTGTTTCTGATTCGGGGGCAACGGGCCTCCGAATCCGAAACTGCACACTAAAACTGCAGAATGAGCGGCGGCTATACTGCCCTCCAGCGCGTTCTGACTTGCGCGCCGCCATTTCGGATTAGATCTTGGTGTACATCAAGATGGCCACACCCGCATGTTCGCGCGCCACCATCTTGGCGTATACCAAATTGTTAGTGATCAAGGGAGGTCATAAAAGATCATGTCACATTACAACTTTTTTCATATTCTATAGTTCAATTATTTTAATACCAATGTGTAGAAGGCTGTGGTTTACTTGGGAAGTTCAATAAGTTAAACCAAATAGTGTGCAGCATCAGAAATCACATAAATAAGATTACATTGATTCAGAGTCCCTCAGTAAGAATCCCTGCAGGCACATACACACACCACTTAAACTGACTTATTAGACAGATCAGCTAAGCAAAATATCCAGTTTAATAAAGTCAAACCACAATGGAACTTGTTGACTGGTATAACAATGCCATTTTGTGTACCAGTCACACCAGCATCATGTTTACATTTTTGGGGGCCAATGAAAAATAAGGACAATGCCTCATTTTGTTTCTTCAGTATTGAAGACCAACTCTACTACAAAATTACACTACAATTTGGGGTCTCCAGATTGCTTGTGTTTGTTTGCATTGTCGCAATTGCCCATTTTTTGTTTGCATATTGTCATGATTTCCCATTTGTTTTCTTTCTGCATATTATTAGAATTAATTTACTTTATCCACCCTGGGTATCAAATAGGCTAGGTACCCCACTGTCTGGAGGCATTACTTATAAGCACCAAACTTCAAGTCTGGCAGATTACCGACATAGTTACCCATTAAAAATGGCCTTCAGTTTTTTCAATGAAAATCTGGCGGCTTCTCAAACTGCATTCAGCCACACTGACCAGAGAATTCCTGCTGAATATTTATCTTTTCTGGCTGGTATTTCAAGAACTGTTGTGAAGTGGTTTTGACTGTAGAATCACTAGAGATTTGCTGGAAAAGAAATGCTTTGACTTAATGTTGATCTTGTTACCATCTGGTGGATACGTTTCAGCCTTTAAAAGGCTCTCACCGCAGGTCTGCTATCTGCATTAAACAATATATTTGACATTCATGCAGACTTCTGTCTTACATCTTAAATCCTTCTGTGCACAACAAGTAAAATAATACAGCTCTTGTGGAACAGACACATTATGTAAGCACGGTTCACTTACTGTTGGGACTACAGATGAGAAGTGCAAGTTATTAACAGCTACTGTAGGGATATGCTGCCAGTTTTAACACATTATTTTGTGGGATCCTTGAATTGTTTTGAACATATACTGGGGAGTGGGAGAAGGATGTGTGCACCACATAGAGTCAGTATATTTGGAAGCATGCCTTTTAAAAGTAATGTAGAGTTTAAATGTGGTATATACACCTCTTTCATTATTTATGTGTATTGCTTTGAAATACACAGAAATCTAAGAGTTTTAAAACTCAGTAACCCACCAGAAACTTAATAATTTATGGTTAGAGTTGAAATAAATATATCATATATAAAGATATAAGTGATAACCAGGATAAATAATCTTGATCCATTTTGTCTCACTCTTTTTTTTTGTCAGTAAATAATTACACCCTTCAAATTTTAGGTGTCTGGTTTTGTTTAAAGTAAACCACAAACACAAAGCCATATAGCCTGATTTACTAAACTGAAAAATTAAAAAGTTGCATGTGTTAAAAAATTTGCTTGAGGTTGTGCTTGCATTTCCTCCTAAGTTAAAATGAGCTTTTGCAGACAACGATATGTCTGCATGTGAACATTTTCCAATGCAAACTGGGCTGTGCACACATACTTTAGTGTGCTCAATTACCAAAAAGCTCTGTGGAGAATGTTACTGGAAAGTGATTGCTGGCCTTTGACTAGCTAGATAAGTTATCAGGAACCATTGTTTGCAGAAGTGTCAGAATTAGGTCATATAATATAAAAAGGAATAACATTTGGAACACCAATGATTGAAAAAAAAAATCAGAGATTTCTTTTTTAAATGTACAAAAATATGTTTGATTTAAAAAACATATTTCCATGCTGTTTATCTGCCTTGTTCAGCACATACTAAATCAAAATATAATACCACTCAAAAGTTATATAGGTTGAACATTTATATTCAGGAGGATACAGACACATTATAATGCCAATAGTGAACTTGTGTTGAGAAACAGG